TTTGAAGAAATTAATTGTGTTTATTAAATTTGTATCCACTAAAAATTATAAAAATAGTTAGTTACAAAAAAAACAATGCATTTATAATCAAAATTCAAAATATTTTCTTGAAATGTATGAAAACACCAAAACATAAATCTTTTTTAAAGTGAATGGAGCAATAACCAACTTAGCTACAAATTAATTAATATGAATAACCTATTGTTTTTTTTTTTTTCTGATATCAGATTCTAAACTGCATTTTATTCAAGCCTTGTGTTGTTGTCTAGTCATGATTAGGGGGACGACTATTAGCAGCTGAAACACGTGAACCCCACTCAAGCAACTCTTTGCTCGTATCATCCCTATGAAGAATCACTTCAATGAAACATAAACAATCCTTCTTAGACTCACTCGCTATCTTTATTGCCTCTACTAGCTCCTCTTCACATCTCACCTTACTAGTCCAACATTTACCTTCACCGTTATGTATCGCATCAACAAAACCAGTATAGTTCCAGTTTCTAATCACGTTATAAGGTCCATCATGTATCTCAACCTCAATGGTATAGCCACCATTATTAACAAGGAAGATAATACTCTTCTGCTCGTTTCTTATCATTGTTGAAACCTCCTGAGCCGTCACTTGGAAACTCCCATCACCAATAAACGCTAACACACGTTTCTCCGGTTCAGCTTGTGCGTATCCCAACGTAGCTCCTACTGACCATCCAATTGATCCGTACTGCATCTGAAACTCGTAGCCACATCCTCTAGGCAGCTTTAGTTTCTGACAGTTAAACCAAGAGTCACCTGTCTCCGCTATAACCGCGGTTTCACTAGACAACATCTTTTGAACGTGTTGAAACATCGTGTTGACTCTTAACGGCTCTTTAGGTTGAGACTTCAACGGCTTCCCTTGAGTGACAAAGATCCTGTGGTAATTCTCGTAAGCTGTCCCGTTCCGTTTGACCCTTTTAACCAGCTCGGTTAAGAAATCACTCATTAGGACACAACCGAAGGTTGAACCGTTGGCTACAGTGACACGATCAGGTTGTACGATGATTGCTTTCTCCTTTTTGATGAGAAGAGAGTAACCTACCGAGGCGTAGTCATTAAAGATTGGTCCAACGAATAGATACGCGTCTGCTGATTCAACAATCTCTGCGCAAAACGGGGAGCTAACGGCTCCCCAATAAGTACCAATGAAGTGAACATGGTCCTCGGGGACTAGACCCTTTGCAGAGGGCATCACAGCTAAAGGGTAGCCAGAAGCGTCTGCTAGTTTGATCAAAGCGTTAGAAGCTTTGGCCATACGTATCTTTGGACCACCGACCAAGACGGGCTTCACGGCTTTGTTGAGAAACTCCACGGTTGCTTTCACGGCTGCTTCTAGACTCATCTTATTGCTTGATCTGAAACGATCCAAAAATACACATTTTTAACACAATAACATTTGATTAGTTGTTGGGGAACTATTATAGAGTATATACTTTGTTGAGAGAGAGAATGGGATGGGGTTGCTTTTAAATGTAGGATGTGGCGTTGCAGCTAAGTTGCAGCTGATGCTGATGTACACAGGCTTGCTTTCACTCAAAGCCATTGATATGGCTTTGTCGATCTGTTCATGTGCGTCTTCTAAGTTATTCACCACGGCCTGAGGAATAAATTATAGTAACAAATGATGTTTCAATCCAATGTTCAAGAACTTCTTAAGAGGTAACTAGGTGATTTGTAAGAGACTAAGAGCATGTGCAACGGAGGGACATAACTCGAATCCTAAAAAAAATATCATTATAAAAATATATGGGATCTTTGTTTTTTAGGTTTTTGTGCAGGTTTGAACTGTTAAATTTCTTCCGTAAAGATTCCATCTGATGGAGTCTGTTAACTATTCGTGGGCCCATTGATACGTGCCGACCCGCAATTGATTAGTTTTGTTTTTTTTTTATAAATCCAAAAAAAAAAATTAAAAATAGAATTTTTTTAAGGATTTTTGTGGGGTACAGGATTGTAGTTGCCCTAATAGGCGGATTATTCGAAGGGTAGACCATGTGTAGGCTTTAAATAGATTATAGATTTATTTTATATATAGTTTATATTTTTTTACAAAATAGTTTAGTTTTTAACTTTAGTTTTATGATTATTTTGATGAATTATCAAAATTAGATATACAAAAATAAATTTGACAAATTTGTGGATCTATACAAATATTATTGTCTAACTTAACTGATTTACACTAATTTATATCTATTTAAACCGATTTAAAATGGTTTAAACTGATTTGAATTGTATAAATCGCATTTTATGAAAATTGTTTTTCTTAAAACCGATTTGTCGCCTAGACCGATTGTACAACCATGTTGCAATCACATTTCAACAATTCATAGTTCATGAAAATTAGTGGATTTGATTATCGAGGAGGAAACGTAAGGAACACGTCATTGGCGTGACCTATTTTTGTTTTGGATTTACCTGATAGCAAGTCACAGCCTCAAAACATGTCAGTTCCTGTCTGAAATCAGACAAGCCAATGGTATGATGAAGTATCCTGTTAGTGCCATAGTCGTTTGAGTTCGGTCCTCCGACAATACATATCAACGGCAGATTCTCGCTGTAAGCCCCCGCAATAGCATTTATCACGCTGAGTCCACCAACGGTGAAAGTCACAACACAAGCGCCAACACCGCGTGATCTAGCGTAGCCATCGGCCGCATAGCCAGCGTTAAGCTCGTTGCAGCATCCAATGAGATTGAGACCAGGCTCGGCTATGAGATGATCAAGCAACGTGAGGTTGAAGTCACCGGGAACTGAGAAGACATCACTGACGCCGATCTCGACGAGACGATGAGCTAAATGTCGACCGGGAGTTCCACCGGAGGAGTCAGTGACGACGGAGGGTGGTACGGAGTGAACGGGACCGTTTGGTTTGACGACGTCGCCGTTGTCTGGTTTACACGTGTCAAGTGATCCAACTATAGTGTCCATTAAAATCGTTTCAGTCACTATTATTAGAGAATGTTTTGAAGTTTCTTGTGCACCAAGAAACTTGAGGGTTATTTATATATGGTCTACTGATTTCCATTTCCGCTTCCGTTGCCTTTGTGATAAAAATTTCTGTTGAGGACCACTACTGAATACCAAATATAGAAAATTAAATTTATTGGGAAAATTTTTGTTTTATCACCAATCTGAAAGTAGAATACATAATGCTTCAGAGTTTATAATTTTTTTAGTAATTACAGATTAATTCCACTCTTATAATCTTATAAAACCAATGTTCTAAAAATCGGTCTAGGCGGCCTAGTCAACCAATGTTCTAAAAATCAGTTTGGACGACCTAATCAGTAAATCGGATATAAAAGAAACGATTTTTTCAATTCAATTTTTTCATAAAATCGGTCTAGTTGTTCAAAAAATCGAAACGTCCGCGTAAACAATAATCCTCTATTAGAGGTCTAATACTGCCTAACAATTTTTAGAACATTATTGTGTAAAACTATTTCACTCACGTCTCTATGACACAAGACAATACACAAACTTCCCTCTGCAAGTGCAAGAACCTCACGAAAAGAGAGTTCTTCTCCAAGAAACGATGTTCGTTCTCTAAAACTAACCCTTAATGAATCAAAACTTTCATTTGACCTGAGGTTTCTGTCTTGTCTTTGTGAACTGTACGTCTCCGTTAAGAACAGCCGCTACGAGTTTCTCAATTTCTTCCGTAGTCAGTCGCCTTTAAACGTAACAAACTTGCCACGTTTAGGCTTGTTTGTAAGCTATTAGAACCTTATCAGATGTTTCGAGCTCTGATTTGGCAAATGAACTCAAGAACGAAGATTGTTTTGCCGCGTCTAGAAGAGAATAGGACACTGTCTCCTGAGAACCAGTTGCTGAAGCTTGTCGTCTAGACAATGATTTCTGTGACACCTATAGACAAAGAGTAGAACCAGAGGATTATTAATTAAACCAAGTCAAAGAACCAAAAAGGCAATGCCCAATATTTTGCTTACCTTGGACAATACTGAGTGCAGTTTCTCTTTACCCTGTGAAGATTTGAAGGCACCAATAATACAAACAGGAATGTTCTCCCCACAAACAGAAACCAAATTTGTTTTGGTAAGAAGATGTACCTTCTCTAAGGGCTTGCTTTGTGCTTGGCTAAACTGACTTTTAGCAACCTTCTTGTTCCTCTTCTCAAACCCTTCTAGCAATTTACCAATCTCCTGGACGGCTGACTTCAGATTCTTCACAGTGATCCCTGTTTTCAAGACTTGATTCTCCCCATTAGATAACCAGCCAACTTTTGCTGGAAATGCGTCAACCCCCCGTTTCTGAATCTTCGGATCAGAAGTGTCATGGACCTACAAGATCATTCAAAGCCTATGCTTTAGCTCCAAGTAAAGATAATGGTAAGGACATTGAAGTAGCATCATACCTCTGTGTTGTAGAATTCAAAGCGTCCATTATACAAGCCACTAGCCGAACACACCAGATGACAGGAGTGTCTTTCTTTGTAGACAATTTTTTTTGTTTGTTGGTTAATAATGCATCATCCACTTATTGGTGCTCCCTTTTGAGTCAATTTTTTTTATCTTCGCACTTAAGATTTTAAATATCAAGTATTAACCCATGAAACAGGGAGAATTTGAGGTGTTGTTAACCTGATATTTCTTGCACACAATAATGATAACACAAGAACAGGGGTTCATCTGTCTAAACCGTTAAATCTCAAAGCTGGAGTAAACCGGATTGTAAACCAAAAATGTAGCTGAATCCTAAAACGAAGGGTATAGCCGTCACTAAACATTGAATCTATGACCCGTCTAAAGCCCAATGTATACCAAATGGATCCAATTCTTCAGCCCAACTAGTTTTAACCGGCTAAGAACAAATAGAAGGAACCGCTCTAAGATAAATCTAAACCAGTAGGGTATGATCGCTGAGTTTTAATTGAAGAAGATTAAGTTGAGAACGAAGAGCGAATCGAAAAGACAGAAGAAGAAGAAGAAGAGGAAGAAGCAATGGGGGTCGATTACTACAAGGTTCTTCAAGTTGATCGAAGCGCTAAAGATGAAGATTTGAAGAAAGCTTATCGCAAACTCGCTATGAAGTGGCATCCCGACAAGAACCCTAACAACAAAAAAGAAGCAGAATCCAAATTCAAACAGATCTCTGAAGCTTACGATGTAAAAATTCTCTTACACAACTCGATCTTTTGTCGGAATTTTGAAATTGAGCAGCTCTTTAGTCACCAAATTACAAAACTTTATGTGGACAAAAGTGTTAATGATCTGTTCTTATTGCAACGAAACCTGTTTTTGTTTTTTCATTGAAAGTTTCAATCTTTTGTCGGAATTTTGAAATTGAGCAGCTCTTTAGTTACCAAATTACAAAATTTTATGCGGACATAAGTGTTAATGATCTGTTCTAATGATGTTTCGTTCTTTTTCCATTGAAAGTTCTGATCTTTGTCCGTATTTGAATTTGAGCTTTTCCAAATTACAAAACCTTATGAGGACAAAAGTGTTAATGATATATTCTTATGATCTTTTGATTGGTTGCATTGTCCTAAGGTATTGAGCGATCCTCAGAAGCGCGCAATCTACGATCAATACGGTGAAGAAGGTCTGAACAGTCAAGCTCCGCCTCCTGGCTCCGGCAGTTTCCCTGGTGGTTCAGAGTCCGGAGGGGCTTCGTTCAGGTTCAACGGTAGAAGCGCTGATGACATCTTCTCGGAGTTCTTTGGCTTCTCAAGACCCTTTGGTGGGGACCCACGTGGCGCAGGTCCCCCTGGTGGGTTCAGGTTCGCCGAGGACGTGTTCTCTTCTTATAGGTCAGCTGCAGGAGAAGCCTCTAATGCTCCACCGAGGAAAGCTGCTCCTATAGAGAGACAGCTTCCTTGCAGCTTGGAGGATTTGTATAAAGGTGTTACTAAGAAGATGAAGATCTCTAGAGACGTCCTTGATTCGAGCTGGTACTTTCTTAACACTTGTGGTATCTGTACTGTAATGCAAGTTATATTTAAAGAAAAGGAAAAGAAAATGGATTCTTTGTTTACAATGCAGGAGACCTACAACGGTGGAAGAGATTTTAACGATAGAGATCAAGCCAGGATGGAAGAAAGGGACGAAGATAACTTTCCCTGAGAAAGGAAACGAGCATAGAGGAATCGTACCATCAGATCTTGTATTCATAGTTGATGAGAAGCCACACGCTGTGTTCAAGAGAGACGGTAACGACCTTGTGATCACGCAGAAGATCCCTCTCGTGGAAGCACTTACTGGCTACACTGCTCAGGTCACGACTTTGGATGGGAGGACGGTGACTGTTCCGGTCAACAACGTGATCAGCCCTTCGTATGAAGAGGTTGTGAAAGGAGAAGGGATGCCTATTCCTAAAGACCCATCAAAAAAGGGGAATTTGAGGATTAAGTTCAATGTTAAGTTCCCGTCGAGGCTGACAACAGAGCAGAAGTCTGGAATCAAACGGATGTTTTCGTCTTGTTAGATGATTTAGTTTTTTTAAAAAGTGTCTCTGTACACTCTTTCTGCTACGTTTGGTTTCAGGTGTGTGGTCGTGAAGTCATTAACTATGTAGCTTTCACTTTGCAGTTAGGATTTGGTTTTGGGGTTTTAGTTTATTGTTTTTTGTTATTTGCTTATAAGTGTTGTTAGATTGAATAAAATATCTAATAAGTAAAGGTTCTTTGCCTATTTTTTTAATGTTATTAGAGCTTTATAAACTCTTGTGTTCTTTTTTTTTTTGGAACGAAATTTCTTGTGTTCTTTTCTATACAAAGCTCAACAAAAAATGTCCTAATGAATCATTTTGACATAAGCATAACAACATAACCTTTTTTTTGTTCTAACAACCTTGCATGAAGATATGACATACTCTCAGTTTCTGTAGCGTATAGACTTTAACTAAACCAGACTAGGTAAAAATCTGTCCAGCACAGAAAGACAATGTTACAGAAAAATTTCAAAACCGAAATCCAAATGTTCAGTCACTCAGTGGATTCACTCAGCAGGTTCCATAGTTAAGTGGAGAAGCAAGGTAATTGGAACTTGCAATCAATCTTCACGAAAAAAAAATTTATCAAGAAAGTCGCAGTAGCAGCTGCAAGGGAAACTTGCAGGGGAAATTTTCATAGATGATGATGACGTTACAGGAGAAGAATGAATATTCATAATCCAATCACAAAAGGCCAACGAAAAACTAAGCAGGATGGGTTTTACATTTAAGGAACCGTAGATGGAGGGGATACAGAGGTTTTTGGTTGCTAATAGCTATGCTTAAACCAAATCTATTCAAACAAATGAACTCAAGCCACCACGTCTGTCTATTGCTTGTTTACGATGCTCCAGATACTGTTGCATGTCTCATAAGACGTCATCTTACTTGTCTCGAACTGGAACGTCTCAATAACCTTTTTCTCGCGATCTACCATATCTTTGGAACATTTAAATCAAGGATTCACAACACTAGAGGGGAAAAAAAAAGAATGAACCTTGTGAAGTAAACATACTATAGAGAAAGGATACATCCTGAGATCTTCGATGGATCCTCAACGTCTGGTATAACTTTTGTGACAGAAGCATACATAGATAGCTTTTTCCTGCAGATGGAACATAAAACAGATATTGAGAAAACTAAACTACTTACTCAGCAATGAACAGATATTGACAGAACACAAAACAAGTAATATGCAATGAATAAGATTGTGGATCTTCTTACTCAGCTCTCAACTCGTCCCGTTCTTTTCTCTTTATAGATTTCCTCTGTTCATCAATGTCTGTCCTTTGTGCATTCAGGTCCTTGAGTTCCTCAGCAACTACTGTATTGACAAAACAAACACTTTTCATGTCACTGAACCAACAGACAAAGATAACTTCACTGAAACTAAAACTACACTTATCTAAGCTCGTCCTTAAGTTTGCACTCTAGTTCCATCTCTTGGTCTAACTCTCTCTGAAGACGCTCAATATCATCATCTCCAACCGAAACATCAGAATAAGCTTCCTCTGTTTTCTTCTTACAAGCGACAAGCTTCTTCTTACAATCTGCATTCACCAAAAACCGAACACTATACCACTCAAATCTTGTAAAGTTTACGTCTTTCGAAGTTTTTAAACAAACCCAAATCCAAAAAAACTAACCTTCGATAGATCTCTGTATCTGATTGAAATCCTCGTCGCAAGCTAATCGGAGAGTTTTCAAGTCCTCGAAGCTTTGCGATACCACTTCAAACCCGTTCTTAACATTCAGTAAGCTGATCAAATCGTCTCCGTAAGACATTAGATCTACGATATCGAAATTCCCCGAAAGGTTCCCCATTTTTCTGATACAGAGAGTGATGAATCCACACTGTCTTGGCAAAAGGGTTCTAATAAAGCCCTAAGCTTTAGATTCTCTGAGAATCAAAACCCTCACCAGGAGAGTTAGAGATTCTTGCAATTTGAAGTAGCCAAGTATGTATGTGTGAGTTTTGCCTCTTGGCTCTAGAAGAGAAGAGAGGAAAGATCTGATTTTTGATTTTTGAATTTGATTGGAAAATTCAGTTTAATTTGATTAGACTGTGCTTTTACTACTACTGCTCTGCCGACAGAAAAAAAAAAAAAAAACAGAAAATTTACTACTGCTATTAAAGAATAATGGGCCCAGCCCAACTTTCTATAATGGACCAACGTAATTTATGTCTAATGCACTCAGGTTTAGGGGTGTATTCAAGTGATTCAAACATTAATTTCAGTGTTATTAATTTTGATATTTGATAAACAATAGGCCTGGGAGTTTCGGGTATCGGTTCAGTTCGGTTCAGGTATTTCGGGTTTTGGGTAGTTCGGGTAAGGGGTTAGAAGATCCATTTATTACTTGACATATTTTCGGTTCGGTTTGGTTCGGTTCGGATAGTTTCGGGTTCGGTTAGATTCAGATAGTTAAACTAGGAATCATAAAATACCTAGAAAATTCGGTTCTCATTTAGTTCCAATTCGGGTTCGGGTAATTCATGTAAATTATCAGTTATTTAGAATAAAATCTATATATATAAAGAAATGTTCACTCTCTCAAGGCTCCTCCACGTCATCAATTGATGCAACCTGCGAGTGCCACCTGTATCTTCTCTATAATTCTGCGTTTCATTTACGGAAGAAAGAATAATCAGTGGGCTTTATGTCTAATTAGAGCCCAAAAAGGAGAGTCCCTTTCGTCATCTTGACAGCCACCCTCATCTAGGGTTCCTGTTCTTCATCGATGTCTGATCCGTTAGAGATTTCTTATGCATTCTCTCATACTCTCAATGGCGTCTCGAGAGATTAGATGACTCGAATCGAGATGAAGTCTATGTGTTTGTCTTCACTTGACACGTTTAGACTTCTACTCTGCTCAACTGAAACCGTCCGTGTTAAAGGTTCATCGCCCATTATCGCCTTCGTAACTCCATAAACCGATGTGAAGCAACATTGATTGTGAGTTATCGATTTATTCTACACCTATAAAAAAATTAGATTTTTTCACTTCAACATCATCCTCAATCTGTGAAAACACTAAATCTAATCTCTGTGAAATGGCTAACTCATCAATCCTCATTTCTGATATAAAGGCTGGTCGTCGCTCCTCTACCGTTCAAGTGGGTTGCTCAGATTCTGGGAAGCCAGGAATGTCAAACGTGGTGGGGAACTGATGTCTCTTGATATGATGTTACTGGATTCACAGGTAAATCTGTTCTTAAACTCATGTTGAGAGTGATTTATGTTCGTAAATCTCATTTAAATGCTTTTGGCAATGCAAAAACCGCAAGAAAGAATACTTCAAGGTGGAGTAAGTCTCGAGTTTATTAATTTTCCCCTTTTTAATTGTACTCCCTTGAACCTATATTTAAGATACTTAGGCATATCCTACATCGCAGTTGTGTTAGTAATTTGGTGTTGATTCAGTACGACAATAGAGGAATAATCTCTGGAGCTACTACCATGACATATTTGTTTGAGAGATTGTGGGTTTGTCAAGTTTCGTACCCTGAAAGAAACTATTGTTTTACATGATTTGTGCTACACTTAAAAAGGTAAGCCTTATTTCTTCTATGGTGGGGATAGGTTAAAATTTTAGAGATCGTGTATGCATTGGATAGTTTAATTAATGATTCCAATGAATACACAGATGATGGGAAAGCTATGGACTCTGTTAGGATCTGATTCTGAAGATAAGGTACTTTCCTTTTAGTTGTTTATTTACATGCTTAGAAATAAGAACAACTCTACTTACATTCTAATTATGCAGGATGCACTTTTCCGTGTGTAGTGGTCGCATTCCATCATCTAAGAGTCAGAAGCTTCAGAACCTAAGGACGAGAAATAACAGTTCCATCTATACATCAAGGTTGTTCATGCTAACGCTACGGTATGGCTTTACTTCACTATCTTTACTCATATTTAACCTTAAACTGAAGCTTACTTTATTTTCCATCCCTTGACGCTAATCAGATCAAAGAAGCATGGGACATCGGGTGTCTTCACTTTCTCCTTAAATGTTTGTAAATGATTGGTTTGTTTCTCCTGCGCAAAACAAATATTGTAGAAGGAAAATACAATCTTTTTTTGCAAGAGGAATAACTAAGTGAAAGATTATGAAGCTTCAGTAAATAATCAAAACAAATAATTTACAAAAAAAAAAACAGTTTGACAAATAAAATAAGAAGATATAACAAATAAAACATTAATTTTTCGTCTGTAAATATCCTAATGTATACAAGATATATATATTAAGTTTATCAAACTCAACTAACGAAAAAGTTATTACAAATAATTTTCAGTGGTTACCAAACTCAATTTTAGAAAAAATAATTTAAAAAGTGATGGAAAATAGAGCAATAATTAATCATAATATATTTTTCTTAAGTAACAAAATTTGATAAATAAAATAAAAAATACCATACATGATAGATATTGTAACAAATAAATCATCAACATATTTTTAAAGGAAGTTAAATGGTGCCACAACACCATTTTTGCTCTTTAAAATTAGAGCAAATAAATAAATTTCTTCGAAAAAAAAAACTCAAGTATATAGTTATCCAATTTGGATTAGCCCCATGATAAATAGTTATACAATTTGGATGAGCCCCATGGAAAAACTCTAATAAATAATTATACAATAATAATTTTATTTCTAAAAAAGTTATATAAGTGAAGACAAGCACCACAATGCATAATAACCCTACAAAAAAAAACACATGGAAGCACATATGATATAAAATATTAATATAGAAGTCTCATGTAACTAAAACAAATATCGTGCCTCTGGGCTGTGGCGCAAATAGCGTTACCTCTTGGGAGCAACCGACAACGTAGATGAATTGGTTCAGAGGCAACCTGTTGCAGATGCATGGAAATCGAAACACCATCACATCTATATTTGTTATCAAAGTTTCCTTTAAACACATGCTTCTTTCATTATTGTTTCAAATGAAACTGAAGGTTTCGTAACGTTTGCATCTGCTTTTTTAAAAAAGAAATGGATTTAGTGTTACTTACCTATTCTAAATGAATCCACAACCATAAGTATCTGAAGGAAAATTCATTTGTTAATGTACACAACAAATATTGTAAGTTCACTCTGTTTGTGTTCAGGCTTTTTGCATTTTTTTTTGTAAAATATCTTTAGTAAATCTTAAATATTTTAATATTTCAACATTGTAAATTTCTCTGAGCTTTATTCACATGTAAAAGAAAACACATAAATTGCAAACGAAACAACTCAAATTATAAGAATATACGTGAATGACTCAAACTCGATCACCACTTGATATTCATATATGGGAGACGATGAAAAAAAAAAAATGTACGTGAATAGCTAAGTGAACTGTAAATTTTGTCAAGTGTTTGTTTTAAGTTTTGTAAAACGAAAAAAAAAAAAAGTTTTGTAAAACGAGGTAAGTAATGCTATGTCACTAAATGGAATGAGGAAAAAGTGACACATGTCATGCAAAATTATTCTTAAACAAAAAATAATGTTTGGAAAGACTAAAAATATATTTTCAGTGGTTACCAAACTCAATTTTAGAAAAAATAATTTAAAAAGTGATGGAAAATAGAGCAATAATTAATCATAATATAGATTGTTATCCTTTACATTTCATCAAACCCAAAAAAAAAGATCCACACACTAAATTTTCTTTCTATTTTAGGTAAATAAGATCAAATTTAGAATATTTATAAAAATATTCAAATAAAAAATGAGTAATAAAGAACCAAATAATATTTTACAAAAAATTGAAAATAAAATAATAACATACAACAAATAAAGAAACAAAAATCGAGACGAGCCACAATACACAACAATTCTACGCAATACACATACTAATATTCTGTGACATACAAAATTTGGATATTAAAATTTTTGAAATTCAAAAGACAAAAAGAAAATTAAAAAAAATTATATGATTGTCTAAATACTTATATTTTATAATAGATTATAATATTTATATATTAAAATAACATATATAATTAAAATTTCAACGAAAAACCCGGGCGTAGCCCGGGCCGGTCCTAGTATCAAATAATTAAAATGATTTAGATACAAATTTCAGATATTTCAAATTAGTTTTGATATTTGGATAAAATTATCTGTATACTTTCAGGTAGTTCACATAATTTATAATTATTTAGTTATCTTCAACTATATTTGGATAATTCTAATAGATTTTTAAATTAAAATCATATACAATGAAACCTCTATAGATTAATAATGTTGGGGCTATACCAAAACTATAATTTTTTATTAAATTATAGAGATTATTAATTTATTGATATACTAATTGAACCAAAAACTCAATTTGAGATTATAAAATTATAATATTTTATAGAGATATTTAGTGTATATTAATTTATCGATTATTAATTTATAAAGGTTCTATTGTATTTGGTTATGTTATATTTATATAAAATTAATATTATTATATATTTGGATACCCTTTTGGTTCTCGATTCGGTTCGGTTATTTCAGATATATAAATATAAGAACCGTTCAGATATTTAAAAGTTTCCGTTCGGTTCCGGTTTTGGATATTTCGGTTCGGTTCTGGTTCGGTTCTTCGGTTCCAATTTTTTTGCCCACGCCTAATAAACAACTTCAAAATATATTGTTATTACAAAATTGAATTGTGAATTTTAAAATATATTTGATTGGTTGGAATTTCTTAGTTAAAAAGTAATGCCTCTGTTTTATTTTATTTGTCATTTTAGGTTTTTGCACATAGATTAAGAAAACATTAAATTTTGCATATTTTCCATATAAAAAATAATTACTAATAAATCTAACAACATTTCAACCAATAGAAAAATATAATAACATATAAAGTTAATCAATTTTGTCTGAAATCATCAAACGACACTTATTTTGAAACAAAAAAATTCTTCTATAGTGATAAATAAATGGAAACAGAATGAGTATTATCTTAAATATCATAGTTAATTAAGGAAGATTTAACTAAAATCATTTTAAATTTTAATTCATCTAAGATCATCTTAAAAACTTAACAAAATATCAAATTACTTCCAATGATTACACCACCTTATTGCTCTCTTTTGACTTGCATCATAAGTCAGAACCGCGTAATACTTTTGTCTTAATAATTTCGTTTTTGTCCACATTAATAACTCAAATTCATTGAAATTGATTTGAAGGTCATTCATCTCCTCCACACAAATGATTCGAAATAACAGACCACACACATGGTCCAAAAGACTTTGACTTTGAACATTTCTTCTTCTTCGTCTTTACCATATCGGCATCTAGACACTAGACCATAAAGATCTACATCCTTGAAATTTGCATAAACTTTAACAATCTCTTACTTCATAACCTTCATCAAAGTCCACAAAAAAAAAAAAACTCAAGATTCTCAATGGCCATAGCAAGATCCATAGGAACACTCATGTTCTTGCTCTTTCTATCAACAAACGTTATTGCTGACTCCTCAACATCCACAACAGAGTTCACTTTCCTAGGTTTCAGAGCAAACCAAACCGATATCCAAACAGAATCAGCTGCAACCATCCAACAAACCGATGGTCTACTCAGACTAACTAACCGTAACCACAACGTAACCGGAACAGCCTTTTACCGCAAACCAATCAGACTCCGTGACCGTTCCGACAACAAACTATGTTCCTTCAGCACATCTTTCATCTTCGTCATAATCCCATCTAGTCCCGGCAACGGCGGTTTCGGCTTCACATTCACACTCTCACCGACACCAAACCGTCCCGGAGCTGAATCCGCACAGTATCTCGGCCTCTTGAACAGATCCAACAACGGACACTCCACGAACCACGTCTTCGCCGTGGAGTTCGACACGGTGCAAGGATTCAAAGACGGAGACGACAGGAGAGGAAACCACATCGGTCTTGACTTCAACAACCTCTCTTCGGCCGTACAAGAGCCCGTTATTTACTACGACACGGATGATCGTAAAGAAGATTTTCAGCTAGAGAGCGGCGAACCGATCCAAGCGCATCTTGATTACGACGGAGCAACCGACACGTTGAACGTTACAGTCTATCCAACTCGTCTAGGGTTTAAACCAAATAAGCCTTTGATGTTGCATAGAGATTTGAACTTATCAGAGATAGTTAAGGATGCAATGTTCGTAGGGTTCACTTCCGCTACTGGTAAAGGTCAGTCTAGTTCTCACTACGTGATGGGATGGAGTTTCGCTAGCTCATGTGGAGAAGGCAATCCAGTTTCGAACTGGCTCAATGTATCTCTGCTTCCTCGTCCGCCGCCACCAAACGTGAGTGGCAAGAAAGGCTACGACGCTCAAGTCGTAGCTTTGATTGCTTCTTTATCGATTGTAACGTTATTCCTCCTTGCGTTGCTGTTTGTATTCCTTATGTATAAGAGGCAGGTAGAGGAAGGAGAGGCTTTGGAAGATTGGGAGATAGATTATCCTCATAGGTTTAGTTACAAAGATCTTTATTTAGGAACGAAGAAATTCAAAGAGAGTGAGATCATTGGCTCTGGAGGGTTTGGGATTGTTTACAGAGGAAAGTTGCCTTCTTCAGGGGATGTTGCGGTGAAGAAGATAAATCAAAATAGTTTACAAGGAGTTAGAGAGTTCGTGGCGGAGATCGAGAGCTTAGGTAGGTTAAGTCATAAGAACTTAGTGAATCTTCAAGGATGGTGTAAACATAACAAAGATCTCTTGTTGGTTTACGATTATATCCCCAACGGTAGTTTAGACTCGTTGTTGTACACACGGAACGGTATCGTTTTGACGTGGGAAGTACGTTTCGAGATCATAAAGGGAGTTGCCTCGGGGCTGTTGTATCTCCACGAGGAGTGGGAGCAAGTTGTGATACATAGAGACGTGAAAGCGAGTAACGTTCTTGTGGACGCGGATTTGAACGCTAAGTTAGGAGATTTCGGGCTCGCGAGGCTTTATGATCGCGGAACGCTAACGCAGACAACGAAAGTGGTTGGGACGTTAGGGTACATGGCGCCTGAACTCACACGTAACGGGAAAGGGTCAACCGCGTCTGATGTTTTCGCGTTTGGCGTTTTGTTGTTGGAGATTGTGTGTGGGAGGAGGCCGACGAATACTGAGAATTTTTTTTTAGCTGATTGGGTTATGGATTTTCATACCAACGGTGGTGTGCTTCGTGCGGTTGATCAGAAACTCGGGTCTAGTTTTAATGGTAGAGAGGCGAAGTTAGCTCTCGTTGTGGGGTTGTTATGTTGTCATCATAAACCAACGGTTCGGCCAACGATGAGGAATGTTATTAGATATTTGAATGGGGACGAGGATGTTCCGGAGATTGATGGAAACTTGGGGTTTTCGGATTCTTCTAGAGATGATATTCTTAGGTCGAATGTTGTATGTAATGTGTCGACGGATAGAGCGTCGAGCTCTTCGACTACGTTTTCGTTTTCCACGGAGGTTTCTTCGGGTTCTCTTGGTAATGGTAGATAGTTGACGATAGTAAATTCGAACATAACTTGCTTTATGTAAATCAGATGTTAGATATTTATCGTTGGCTGCAGCATAGATTTGGTTTCAACTTCTTGTACAAATTAAATATACTTCAAATGATTTTTTTTTTTGTTTCTTTTATTGAAATTTATCTGTCTTCTCTTCTGTGTTTTATTATATCATGTGAGAGGATTAAGACTTGAGTTTGTCAAAGACAATGACTTGAAAAACTATTGTTTTTAGAAACGATGTTTTGCTTATAATGTCAAAAAAATTAAAATAAATGCATTATGTGCTATTTTAAGATATTTTGTTTGTTTTCTTGGAAAGAAAAAACAATAGAGATAAAGAAATATATACTATCTATTATACAAATTTGCAGAATTGTTTTATATTCAATTACTTATGATTTTTCGTAACGTAATTTTTACTTATGTAGAGATATCTGCAAGTAAACCTTTTCTTGAGATAAAAGCAACTTTCTTAAGAGGATAAAAGCTCAAGGGATGAGACATGAGTTAGTGTTTCAAAAAAGACATGAGTTAAACATAGTATCCATGTGTTCTTGAGCTACCATAAAGCTTAAGCATGCATTTGAGAAGGAGCTAAGTGTACCATTAGGATATCACAAAAAAAAAGTTTTGTGATATTTCACTTGTGTGTTGTTTGTTCAAGTAAATCTTGATCAGTTAATATCTTTAGAAATGTAGAAATAACAACAACATATCCAATGAAAATGGTAATATTATTCACTTTTGGCGACAAAAGAAAATTTCGGAATTATTTTCTAAAAAATTGTATAAAGTGAACATTAAAATTGGAAACTCTATGAAAAAAATGGTGAAAAAATGTGGGGGTTTACATACTACCGGCTCGTTCCGTAGGTTTCTTGATCTTGGAGAGTTCAACAAGATCTCCAAACAACTTGTCCTCTGGTTTCTTGTTCACAGGTTTCATCATTGGTTGCTGATAATTAAGACCCGAAGGATGAGAAGACACTTGATAGGGGTTAGCATTGTTGGCTCCATTGTCTTGAAGTGACATTCCATACATTTGTTGTTCTACAAGTTGCTCTTGTGATAGCTGAGGTTGTCCTCCGTAGCCTCCGTACATTTGTTGTTCTCCAAGATACTGTTGAGGTGGTTGAGGCTGTCCTCCGTAGCCTCCGTACATGGCAGCAGTGTTATGATAGTTGTTTGGGACGTTTGGATTGTGGCCGAAGGGTGGCTGCATGTACCCTCCTGTCATTGCATGAGGCAACATACCGAACATGTTATTGTTGTTGTTGATAGCATGAGGAGAGCCACCTTGAGGGTTGTAACCAAGCGGTTGATGAGTGTGCGTGGTGATGACCACTTGAGTCACTTGCATTGGATGAGTAGGAGAGTAGTGAGGACTAGAGCTTGGAGATTGAGCTTCCCATGGTGGTGGTGGTAGTGCTAAAACATTGTTGTTTTGTCCACCTTATAGCAATAAGACAACAAACCAGTCAAAATTAGCCCAAGATAATATTAAGCTATATTAAAATATTGTGAGGCTGTAATTATCTACTTTATAGGGGATTAGTGCCTAAATGGATAGTTAGGCTCTGCCTAAACCGATTTTTTCTTTTAGAAAAATAGTTCAAAAAAAATCTACTCGCTAACCGGTTTAGCATTTATGCGTGAATCTATACCGATTTTTAGAACACTGATATTAAGCAAATTTAAGAAGAATACCATAGTGAGGTGAGGCGGGCGGGCTAAAGGTAGGCGAAAAGGGTTGGTTTTGGTTTCCATAGGCAGGAGAAGATGGTTGCTGGGTAATTTGGAGATTCCAGACAGGACCAGAAGACCCTTGTCCAAATCCATTTGAGTAGTTTTGGTGTTGCACCATCTGATTATGAGAGTGTGGACTAGAAGTTGGAGTAGAGGTTTCACAGTTATTATCTGATAACATGTCAATTAAGACCATGGAATTATCTGGTGTTGCAACGGGACTACTTGGTTGTGCAGGTCCAAGAGGAACAAGAGCCAATGAGTTTTCTCCATTTGGTGTCTCAAAGTCATCTCCACTAAGAAGATCTACTTTGGGACCATTTGGTTCAACAGCCACAATACTACCATCTTTCGTTTCACTGCTAAAGAAGTTCAAAACATTTTAGAATGTAACTTTCTGTACAAGTATCTTTCCTCTTCTAAATGATTCTTACCTTGAGTCAACATCTATGATCTGATTTTCGTCCTTAGCAACTTCTTTTTTAGATTTTTCTCCCTTTTCTGTCATACTGTTTCCAGAAGAGATGGATTCGTGCTTCGCAAGTAACCGCTGCAAATCATCATTTAAGGCTAGGCCTTGGCAAAGCAACGATTCATCTCTGAAACATGAACCAAACAAGTTATAGAAATCATATATTCATCTGAACAGGTAAAAGTTTTGGGTCCTTACGATGTGGAGTTTACAAGGTGCACTACTCTTTGCTTATAGGTGCGACATTGGCTAACAAGATCTACGATAACCTCTTGTTTAAGTCCCTGCAAATGGTTAAACAAATAAATTATTCAAATTGTATTATCCAATGTTACCAAATAGTTAAATACCTCGTTGTTGTTTCCATCTATTGCATTCAACATTTCAGCTAAGACATCCATAATCCCTTTTGCATTTTGAATTTCTGTCAAACTTTAAAACAAAATATACAAATAATTATTTTATAAATATTTTGTTTCAGTATTCTTATAAAAAATGAGCAATAATTAAAGATCAACACCTCAAAGTAGGAAACTCTGACTCTGTGGAAGTATCATTAGCTTCTTGTCTAGCATTACGAGCATTCTGATTATACATTGTCGAGGGACCAGTTTGTCCTGAACTTACTGTGGGTTGAGGAGGCCTTTGAGGGAATACATATCCTGCACGCTGCAAAATAGATAAAGAATTTAAACCAAATCATCCTATAGTTTGAAACATTTAACGGTTCTATTTAAATAAGCATGTAACAGCCAAAAAGAAACATACCAACAGTTCTTGGTATGCTGCATAATATTGAGGATGTCTTCCTTGAGGACCTGAAAAGCTCTCTTGCCAAGTATCTATAAGTATCAATATCTTCTCCTTCACTTGGATGTTAGGCTATATATAAGTTTAACAAACAACATAATAAGTTTGGTGTCACACACATAAATAGGTTAACAATAGTTAAAAAGAATAATTGTCTGACCTTCCTTTTGACCATCTTCACCATCTTATGAAGGATATCCTTCTCTGCAACTTGCATATGAATGAGTTCCCCACAATTGTTTATCATTGTCTCTAGTAGCTACAATGAAAGCAATCCCAAAATATGTTTATTTTCCCATGAAATAAATGATTGTCTTCAAACCCCTAAACCAAACCAAACCAAACCAAACCAAACCGGAAACTTGAATACTGATCCCTTGAAACAAATTTCAAACTTACTGTAAGAGCCAAAAGCTGAACCTTGGTAGTCCTACTAGCAAGCCTTTTCTTTATTCCACTCACAACTTCTCTAGATTGCCTACAAGCACAGATCACTTATCAACAAGCCAAAAAAAAAGTTGGTATAGAACCAAGAAACATAAAATCCAGATGTGAAGAACCTATAAATCAAATAATCAACACAAATGCATAACCGAGAATATATACGTTTAACATGTTAGGCCAAATCAAACATAATAAAGTCCTTTAGATCACAGATTCATAAAGGTGTTACCCAGGCTCATGATTAAGCATGTCACATATCTCGAGGTTCATGGCCCAGTCAGGACCAATAAGCATATCGCTTGTGGCTCTATCAACCAAAGGATGCACCATCTTTCAGTTTTTTTTCCTCTCCTTCAAAACTCCCCCAACTTAAAAGAGTGTTGTTTTTTTTTGGTTTTCTAACTAATAGGAGTTGTTTAATTCCTTCTAATACTTTTTCTATTCTTAATTTTGCAAACAGAAATAACAAGGCGACACTTGTAATCACCGTTGCTACAAAAAAGCAGAAGATTATGGAACTGATTGACCTTTCATATTTTCGTTTAAATGTTTTTCCATATTGGGCTTTGGTTAAATAACGGGCTTATAATGTGAAAACAGTGTCGTTTTTTCTATAGAACTCGAGCTGGCTCTACATGACTCATTCTCACTACTTTGAAGATTTTCAAATGAAGGACTACTGCCCAATCGTATTCAGGTGCGCATAACGTTTTTTTCATATACTATTTGCCTCTATGGTGTTTAACATTCATTTCTAAACCTTGTAGGAACCTGAGGGAGATGTTCAAGATAGATGCAGCTGATTACACACTATGTCCATTTGTGGAAATGATACATTAAGAGAACTTTCTTCTCTTCTCCATGGAAGAGTGGGAGCATCTTCTTATGTAAAATTTGTAACATATGTAACATCTGCTTATGATTATGTAATAAAATAAAATTTCAATATAAATATATTACGATGAATATATAATCTATTCAAATACTTGAGGGAAGGAAACATATGATGATGATGATTGGCTATTGTAAATTCAGGGAAGTAGAAGAAGAGTGATGAAAATGTTGAGAAGGACCCCCACGTGTCCCCTGTTTATCGATTAGTGCACAGAAAAAAAAGAGTTCCGTTGCACGCGTGCAGGGCGCGTGTGCTTAACCTTTTCTAAAATTTCCCTTTGTTTATTATATTTATTTAAATTTCCAAAATGATGTCAGAGGGTCCCACGTTAGCAAGACGTGACCAGATATAAACCATCTGAATGTGATCTAAATGAACGGTGAAGATATAAGGTCAACAACCTAATCTTAATTAGCCATTTGACCAGAAAACAAAACCCCACTTAGATGCTGCCTATTTTTATTGAACAAGCAAATAAGATTAGTTTTCCAAGTTTGACTGAGATGTTGCTTTACTGGAAATCTTTGAATTTTACAACTTTGATGTATACTAGAAACGAAAAATTGAAAAAAAGAAACGAAATTTTCTTGTGAAATAAATGGTCAGAAAAATAGACCGTTGATGTTAGGAGTTTTCAAGGCTCCTAAGTCAAATGTTGTATAGTGGAAGTAAGTTGTCGAACCAGTTCTGAGGGAAGTAGAAGCGATGAGAATGCAAGTACTAACTTAATCTAAGTGCGATCGAATGTTTGGTTGGTTTTAAAGTGAACTAAAACTAAAATGTAAATAAACGATATGACTTTAACTATGAAGGTAAA